GCGATTCATTTACTTTTCAATTGCTTAACGGCTGCTTTGTATATAAACCTTTGTCCGGTACAGCTAAGTAAAATAAACTCATTGATTTTAAGAGGTAGACTCTACTATGCTGATTCCAACCTTTTTTACCATGCGTAAAATGAGGAAACACAATTTCTGTACAGACCTGTAGTTAAATCTTCCGGTCGATGTATGTTGTGTCTCTGAATGACTCATACAAAACCCATATTTAGTTACATACTTTAAACCGCTTGGGACGAACTTAAATTTCTCGCACTTCACCTTTTGTGTGTCTGGTGAACCAAGTCCAAAATTTGATGGCATCTACGGCGAAGCTGTGCCTGACTCTTGAGCTGAATACACTTTAATTGATATAAAGCGAGTAAGTGGCTATCTTTGCGCTGTTTTTGATTGGTTGATCTCACTTTCTGAATCTTCAGGGACATGTTTAGAGAGCAAACTTTACTAAGAACGACTCCGCATTTTGTGGGCGCAATGTACGTCCTAAAGAATACGATGGTTTAGCTAGGCTTTTCAAGTACTTCTGGATATCTATGCTCTATCTGGAAGCTAAGAACAGTGTCACCTGCATATATTAGCTCAAAAAAGGTCTATAGATGGAACATAATAGTAAGTTTTTACAAAACATTCCAGCTTTCGCCTCGTGATCCCATCAATAACAAAACTGGACAAAAAAGAAAATGAACTTCCTTGTTGCATATCACTGCCTAAGGGAAGATTTGGAGCGTTCTTCATGCAATCTAACGTGCACACAATTATTGGAACAAAACAACACAATATTTACAACCTTTTGAGACGTGTTTTTTTATGCAAGCATGTTAAAAAGGATCAACAGGTCAGCAGAACCACAAACACCCTTGAAGTGAAGAAACATCAGCATTATGAAATTCTCCCACGCACGTTGTTGTTTCAACACAACCTTAACATTATTGGCAACAACGAAGGGATCAGAAAAGGCGACCTGATCCATAAACGTTCCTGTCAAGAGCCATAACTGCTGCGCTCTCTATAGATTTATATTATATACTTACATTCTGTGTACGGAAAATCTCTGTAATAGGAACCTCCTTTGGGAGAAATATATTTTGTACGTTAGATAGAGGTTTTAGAGTTGAACTGAGTTAAATTTGAAGAGTGACTTAACATTTGTGGAAGGAGTCAGCCGATCCAGATTGAATTGCTGCCAGACATCCATAACGTGATGTTAATTAACTCCTGGTTTGGAAAACTCCATTGATGCCTGTCGTTTCCGCGTACTGCTATAATTTGCAATTGTAAAAATCGCGGATCTTAGAGAGGATTTCTAATCTATAAGTAATTGCAAGGGTATCAAACATCAGTGACGCTCACTAGCTTGAAGAAGCCGATCGACGGTCAAAACACTCAGGAGAGTTACTGGATTATTCAGAGCCTTAAGTAGACCAGTCACGTGGCTCAAACAGTTCGAGGGCGAGATGGCCCAAAGGGGTGCAGTGCGAATTTACTGACAAGAAGGTCCGTGGTTCGAATCCTACCTCTGCCTTTCGACTTTCCCTGTCTAGGCTTGGGCAACCTAGCAGTATCACAGCCCTCGCGCTTCCTTCAGGTGGCATGGCAGATAATCACCGGAAAGGTGCTACGGCTGAACGCTTTGCTTTTTTTGCTCAAACAGTTCGTTTGTGATAGTGCACTCATCTTACATATAAGAATAAGATGGAAATCCAAGTATAGTGCTGCTCTGCTTTGGCCTGAATTGACCAAACGCATCGTGCGTGCATAGTTAAAAGTCTACACAATGATGTAAACAAGCATTTTTTGCTTTGGTTGACATGTTATGTTTGGTGTCTGATGTCTAGCAAACCAGAGAATGAGCGCAGTATGGGATTCAGCGTTTAACCAAAGTGCAGTTTTTTCTAGAAAGCGAGATGCTCTGTGGAGATCTGTGACTAAGATGTGACCAAAACAGTCTGAATGAGAGTAATTGGGGCCATACTGGCGGACTCCGTTATGGAGAAAAGGTGAAGACATTTTTATTTGTTTTCGCCAATTTAGACTTCAGTTAACCCAATTTCTGCTGTTTAAAGTTCTTCATTTGAAATAGCGTTGCCGTGGTGTGACATTTTGCGCACCTCAGCGATCCATTGAGCTATACTGGAGAGTGTTGCGCGACACTCACAGAGTCTCTCACATCAGGTTGGTCAATGGTTAGAGGTCTGACGAACACAGTCTCCTGGCCCTCCAGGTTGGGGGTTGGAACATGTGACGACTTGTTCCGTAGAAATGGTAATGCATTTGAAGTTCCCGCCAAACACCGCTGCCTTGCGGTCAGGCTTTTGAGCCAAAGGCTTTGGTTGAGGACCCTAATCGTCCTTCTGTCTAGGTGTGGGCGTCCTGGCAGTATCCCAGCCCAGGAATCTCCAAATCAGTCCTCAAGCCTCGACACCCACTCTATCTGGCCGCGTTCAATGTTCGCACTCTGAAACAAGCAGGACAACAAGCTGCTCTTGCACTCACACTGGACTTGCTTGGCATTGATGTGTGCTGTGTC